AGTAGATCTCTCCAAAGAAACCTGGCAGGAGAGAGTGGCATGATATATTCAAGGTGCTGATGGGGAAAAATATGCAGTCAAGAACACTTTATCCATCAAGGCTGTCATTTGGAATAGAAGGAGATAAAGAGCTTCCCAAACAAACAAAAACTAAAGGAGTTCATGACATCTAAACTACTACCCCGCAAGAAATATTAAAGGGAACCCTTTAAGTGGGAAAGACCAAAAGCAACAAAGTCTAGAAAGAAACAGAGAAAATCTCCAGAAACAGCGACTTTACAGGCAATACAATGGCACTGCATTATCTATAAATAATTACTCTGAAAGTGGACTAAATGCCCCAATCAAAAGATATAAGGCATCAGAATGGATAAAAAAAAAAAAAAGACCTATCTATATACTGCTTACAAAAGACTCTATTTATTTTTTAAAGATTTTATTTATTTGACAGCAAGAGAGAGAGAGAGCACAAGCAGGGGGACAAGAGACTCATTTTAGACCTAAAGATACCTGCAGATTGAAAGTGAGGTGATGAAGAACAATCTATCATGCTAACTGAAGTCAAAAGAAAGCCAGAGTAGCCATATTTATAACAAGAGGTGAAGAAGGGCATTATCTCATAAACAAGGGGTCTATCCAACAATAAGATCTAACAATTGTAAATCTTTATGCCCCCAACTTGGGAGCACCCAAATAAATCAATCAATAAAAAACATAAAGAAACTCAATAAAAATAGGAGACTTTAATACCCCACTTACAGCAATGGACAGATCATCTAAGCAGAAAATGAAAAGGAAACAATGGCTTTGAATGACACACTGGACCAGAGGGACTTAACAGACATTCAGAACATTTCATCCTAAAGCAGAATACATTCTTTTCTAGTGCACATGGAACATTCTCCAGAATAGATCACGTACGGGTCACAAACTAGGCCTTCAACAAGTACAAAAAGCCTGAGATCATACTATGCGTATTTTCAGACCACAATGCTATGAAACCTGAAGTCAACCACAAGAAAAAATTCGGAAAGACCACAAATACATAGAGGTTAAAGAACATCCTACTAAAGAAAGAGGTTAACCAGGAAATTAAAGAAGAAATTTAAAAAATGCATGGAAGCAAATGAAAACATGACAGTTTAAAACCTCTGGGATGCAGCAAAGGTGGTCCTAAGAGGAAAGTATACTGCAATACAAGCCTACCTCAAGAAGCAAGAAAAATCTCAAATACACAACCTAAACTTACACCTAAAGGAGCTAGAAAAGGAATAGCAAATAAAGCCTAAAGCCAGCAGAAAAAAGGAAATAATAAAGATTAGAGCAGAAATAAAAAAAACTAGTAGAACAGATCAATGAAACTAAAATCTGTTTTTTTGAAAGAATAAAACTGATAAACCCCTAGCCAGACTTATCAAAATGAAACGAGAGAGGACCCAAATAAATAAAACCAATGAAAGGAGATCACAACCAACACCACAGAAATACAATTATAAGAGACTATTATGAAAAATCATATGCCAACAAAATAAGCATCTGGAAGAAATGGATAAATTCTTAGAAACATACCAACTGCCAAAACTAACAGGAAGAAAAAAATTTGAACAGACCCATAACCAGCAAAGAAACTGAATCAGTAATCTAAAAATCTCCTAAATACAAAAGACCAGGGCCAGATGGCTTCCCAGGGGAATTCTACCAGACATTTAAAGAAAAGTTAACATATATTCTTCTCAAACAGTTCCACAAAAAAGAGAAATGGAAGGAAAACTTCCAAACTCATTCTATGAGGCCAGCATTACCTTGATTCCAAAACCAAATACCCCACCAAAAAGGAGAATTATAGGCCAATATACCTGATGAACATGGATGTAAAAATTCTCAACAAGATACTAACAAATCAAATACAATAGTACATTAAAAGAATTATTCACCACGATCAAGTGGGATTTATTCCTGGGCTGTAGGGATGATTTGCAAATGAATCATGATACGCGACATTAATAAAAGAAAGGATAAGAACCATATGATCCTCTCAATTGATGCAGAAAAAGCATTTGACAAAGTATAGCATCCTTTCTTGATTAAAACTCTTCACAGTGTAGGGATAAAGGGAACATACCTCAATATCATAAAAGCCATCTATGAAAAACCCACAGCGAATATCATTCTCAATGGGGAAAAACTGAGAGCTTTTCCCCTAAGGTCAGGAACATGGCAGGAACGTTCACTATCACCACTGTTGTTCAACATAGTACAAGAAGTCCTAGCCTCGGCAATCAGACACCAAAAAGAAATAAAAGGCATCCAAATCCGCAAAGAAGAAGTCAAACTCACTCTTTGCAGATAACATGATATTCTTTTTTTTTTTTAATGATTTTTTTTTAAAGATTTTATTTATTTATTTATTTGAGAGACAGAATGAGGGAGAGAGAGAGAGAAAGCATGAGAAGGGGAGGGTCAGAGGGAGAAGCAGACTCCCTGCCGAGCAGGAAGCCCGATGCGGCGATCCCGGGACTCCAGGATCATGACCTGAGCCGAAGGCAGTCGCTTAACCAACTGAGCCACCCAGGTGCCCGATAACATGATATTCTATGTAGAAAACCCAAAAGACTCCACCCCAAAATTGCTAGAACTCATACAGGAATTCAGCAAAGTGGCAGGATATAAAATCAATGCACAGAAATCAGTTGTATTTCTATATCCTAACAATGAGGCAGAAGAAAGAGAAATTAGGGAGTCAATCCCATTTACAACTGCACCAAAAACTGTAAGATACCTAGGAATAAACCTAACCAAAGAGGTAAAGGATCTGTACTCAGAAAACTACAGAACCCTCGTGAAAGAAATTGAGGAAGACACAAAGAAATGGAAAAACACTCCATGCTTGTGGACTGGAAGAACAAATATATGCTACCTAGAGCAATCTACATATTCAAGGCGATCTCTATCAAAATACCATCAACTTTTTTCACAGAGCTGGAACAAATAATCCTAAAATTTGTATGGAACCAGAAAGGACCCCAAATAGCCAAAGCAATCTTGAAAAAGAAAACCAAAGCTGGTGGCATCACAATTCCAGACTTCCAGCTCTAATACAATGCTGTAATCATCAAGACAGTATGGTACTAGCACAAAAATAGACACATAGATCAATGGAACAGAATAAAGAGCCCAGAAACAGACCCTCAAATCTATGGTCAACTAATCTTCGACAAAGCAGGAAAAAATATCCAATGGGAAAAACACAGTCTCTTCAACAAGTGGTGTTGGGAAAACTGGACAGCAACATGCAGAGGAATGAAACTAGACCACTTTCATACACCATTCACAAAAATAGACTTAAAACGGATGAAAGACCTAAATGTGAGACAGGAATCCATCAAAATCCTAGAGGAGAACACAGGCAGCAAACTCTTCGACATCAGCCATAGCACTTATTAGACACGTCTCTAGAGGCAAGGGAAACAAAAGCAAAAATGAACTACTGGAACTTCATCAAGATAAAAAGCTTCTGCACAGTGAAGAAAATAATGAACATAACTAAAAGAAAACCTACAGAACAGGAGAAGATATTTGCAAATGATGTGTCTGAAAAAGGGTTAGTATCCAAAATCTGTAAAGAACTTATCAAACTCAACACCCAAAAAATGAATAATCCAATTAAGAAATGGGCAGAAGGGGTACCTGCGTGGCTCAGTAGCTTAAATGTTTGCCTTCAGCTCAAGTCATGATCCCGGGGTTGTGGAATCGAGCCCTGCATCAGGCTCCCTGCTCAGCGGGGAGTCTGCTTCTCCCTTTCCCTCTCCCTGCCGTTCCCCCCCGTTTATGCTCTCTCTTGTCAAATAAATTTAAAAATCTTAAAAAAAAAAAAAAAAAGAAATGGGCAGACGTTTTTCCAAAGAAGACATACAGATGCCAAATAAGCACATGAAAAGATGCTCCACTTCACTCATTATCAAGAAAACACAAATCAAAACCATAATGAGATACCACCTCAAACCTGTCCAAATGGCTAAAATTAATAGCACAGCAAACAACAGATGTTGACGAATATATGGAGAAAGGGGAACCCTCTTACACTGTTGATGAGAATACAAACTGATGCAGCCACTATGGAAAACTGTTGGCGGGCGGGGGGGTTCCCTCAAATAGTTATAGTTACCTTGCACCACTAGGTATTTACCCAAAGGACACAAAACTACTGATTCAAAGGGGCACATGCATCCTGATGCTTATAGCAGCATTATCAACAATAGCCAAAATATGGAATGAGCCCAAATGTCCATCGACTGATAAATGGATAAAGAAGATGGTATATTACTCAGCCATCAAAAAGAATGACATCTTGCCATTTGCAATGACGTGGATAGAACTAGAAGGTATTGGGGCACCTGCTCAGCCGGTTAAACATCTACCTTCAGCTCAGGTCATGATTTCAGGGTCCTGGGATCAAGCCTGATGTCAGGCTCCCTGCTCAGCAGGGAGTCTGCTTCTCCCTCTCCCTTCTGCTTCTGCTCTCTCTCTTGCTCTCCCCCTCGCTCAAATAAATAAGGAAAAAAAAAGGGAACAAACTGAGGGGTTATAGAGGGAGGTGAGTGGGGGAATGGGCTAAATGGGTGATGGGTATTGAGGAGGGCACTTGTGATGCTCACTGGGTATTATATGTAAGTGATGAATCACTAAATTCTACATCTGAAACAATTTCACCATATATGTTAACTAGAATTTAAATAAAAACTTGAAGGAAAAAAAACCCAAAACATTTCACTGTATCCTTCAAAAGGGTTAATAACTTTATGCTATGTGAATTAAACCTCAATAAAGCTATTACAGAGAAATTAAAAATCAAAAAATCCCTTTATTTTCTAATCCTTATTGAAAACTTTGGTGAATTTCTTTTCATTTTTAAACAGCTCAATTCTAAATTGAGCTTAATTCTAACTGTGACATTAATTTTAAGTAAATTTTAAACCAAATCACAACTTTTAAACAAATACCTGTTTGTACAGCAGTATCTTTTTTGGGAGAGGTTGTAGAACTGATACATGTATTCTTTTTACCACTGACATCATCCAAGCCATGTCCTAAATTTGAAATGTTGTTAGTAGATGCCTTATATTCCACTTTTATCAACTAGCAAGAGAACTATATTATACAACATAATGACAGTTCAGAAAGATTAACAGAAAGTATGTGTAGCAGCAACTAAATATACACAAGATTTGTAGTACAATTAGTAAGTGTGAACACTGCAATAAGAATGTAAAAGGACTATCCTAAATTTTTTTTACAAAAAGTGATCTGCATTTTTATCCCTTATTGAATACAGGGAGATCACTTCATAGATTTCTCCAGAAAAATTGGGTAAAAAAAGTATACATTTTACCTACTGTGAACAAAACATTAAGAAAATTTATGTAAAATGATGTGGGAAACAAAGGCAGAAGAAAAATTATTAAATTTCCTTACTACTTACAGCCCACTGACAAGTCCTTGAAATAGGCAGTGACATTCCTCTAGGAACTCAAATGCCTGGATGTTGACACTTTGCTAAGGGCAAAAGGCAATCTTAGCCCAACACCCACGATCCTGTAATTCTACTTTAACATAAAAAAATTCCTCTGGAAAACTTCCTTTATCTCTACTCGCCCGCCCCCAAATACAGGCTGGCAATCATCCCCCAATCATATGACCCACTGATATATATCTGAAGGGTCTCATGACTAAGGTTTTATTAGACAGTAATAAATGACCTTTTCCCAACAATAGCTAGCCCCCTCAAGGTCCTGGAAACCTTGCTTCCAAATTTCTTAGAAACTTACACTATCCCTAACCCCTCACAACTTGAAAGTATATAATGGGCCAGTCCTCATGACCCTAGTGTTGCTCTTTCTGCCCATGGGTCCTGTCTCCATGCTTTCATAAAACCACCTTTTTTTGCACCAAAGACATCTCAAGAATTCTTCCGCAGCTGTTGGCTTCGAACCCTAACACCTTTCCTACATCATAAAAGATTAATGGAAAGTGTAACATTATTTAGTTCTACTCTTAAGGCAATTTCCCAAATAAAATAAGCATTATAAAGTTACATTAGTTCAAGATCTGAAATTCCTTAAACAATATTTAGTCAATAGGTGTGTTAAAGGTATTAAAAATAGGCAGTTATTTAAAATCTCTTCAAAAGATATTATAAGTAAAATTCTAGTGAAGTGCTTACCGCCAAGATTTTTAATCAATCCAGAAGTGTCATGTCCCTTTTGAGCCAATTCTCGGATCCTCTGTTCTTGTTTCAGCCTCTGTGCTAGCTCCTGTGCTCTCTGCATTGTCTGGAATAGCTCATTTGTCTTGAGAGTCATAATTTCCTGTTAATATTGAAGTGCACAAAATTATTAAATACAATTATCAAACACGTACAGACTTGACTATTCTGAGCAGATAAGCTCCTACTATGTGCCAGGCACTATTCAAGCTACTGGGAGAACAGTCAACAGGGCAAAGTTTCTCCCTTTTGGAGCTTACATTTTAGTATCATATTCTACAGCTGTATTAGACCACAAATTTAAGAACTCTTTTACCCACTGAAGTTACTAAAGTTTTCAAAGTTTCTAAAACCAGTGGTCAATTCCATCAGAATTCCATTAAGATTAAAAATCGATTATTAAGAGGTAAAACACAAGGTTTATGGCCATTTCATGCAATTCAAACAAATGATCCTTTGATTTTTTTCACTTATATAGTTATTTCATAGGAGTAGTTGGCTCAACCTATTCAATATAATGTAATTAGAACCCAGACCATCTGCTGCTTCATCAGCTAAGTGTGGAGTAAAGGCTGAAAATGGGAAAAATCAAGAAAATGTAGGCTCTGGGCTCCATCTCCCAGGGCCAGGGGAAATGCTCTATGCTCTACTCTAAACCTCACAAATCCTCGGCAATCCCATGTCATTGTAGGATTTGCTCATGTCAGGTCAGCTCAAACATGGCACTTGACACAAACATACCTATGCTGTGTGCACCACTTAACAGAGATGTTCTCCTAGCTAACTAGGTATCAACTCTTATTTAAAAAGGCTCTTATTGGGTGCCTGGGTGGCTCAGATGGTTAAGCGTCTGCCTTCGGCTCGGGTCGTGATCCCGGGGTCCTGGGATCGAGTCCCGCATCGGGCTCCCTGCTCCTTGGGAGCCTGCTTCTCCCTCTGCTTCTCTCTCTCTCTCTCTCCTCCTCTCTCATGAATAAATACATAAAAAAACTTTAAAAAAAAAAAAAAAGGCTCTTATTTAGCACACAGGAAAACCCTAACACAGCAATAAAATGTATCATCCATCCCAGCCAATCACTGCAAATATATGCTCCTGTTCACTACTGGATACAAACAGAAAGCTCAATCATTTCTCTTAACACATCTAGAATATTTATTAATAATCATTGCTTAGAAAACATTTCAAAATGCAGCACATGGATAACTTTTGTTTTGCACTGTACTGGCCTTTCTTGGCAGAGAAAGAAACCCAAGCAATATGGCATCTGTGAACCAATCACTTGAAATCATTAAAACTTCTCTAGCTTCTCCCTTAAATTCATAACCTTTATAATGCAAAACTTCAATGTTTCGGGATATACCTTCAAAATTTCAAAATACATGCAAATGTTCAACTTCTGATTATTTTTCCTTTAAAAATACATCCATTTTTACTCTATAATGCTATTTATATAATATAAATACTACCATGTTCATGGATTGGAAGAATTAACACTTAAAATGTCCATTCTATTCAAAGCAATCCACAGATTCAATGCAATCCCTATCAAAATACCAATAGTATTTTCCATAGAACTAGAACAAATAATCTTAAAATCTGTATGGAGCCACAAAGGACCCCAAATAGCCAAAGCAATCTTGAGGAAGCAGAACAAAGCTGAAAGTATCACAATCTCAGATTTCAAGCCATATATGCTATAAAGCTAGTACTCAAAATACTATAGTAATGACACAAAACAGATCAACAGAAGATAGAGAGCCCAGGAATAAAACCATGCTTACAAGGTCAACTAATCTACAACAAAGTAGGCAAGAATATGCAGTGGGAAAAAGACAACTCTTCAACAAAAAGTGCTGGGAAAACTGGACAGTTACATGCACAAGAATGAAACTGGACCACTTTCTTCCACCATACACAAAAATAAACTCAAATGGATCTAAACTGTGAGCCCTAAAATCATAAAACTCCTTAAAGAAAACATAGGCAGTAACCTCTTGGACATCAGCCTTACCAACATTTTTCTAGATCTGTCTCCTCACGCAAGGGAAATAAAAGCAAAAATAAACTATTGGGATTATATTTAAAAAAAAAAAAAAAAAAACCTTCTGCACAACAAAAGAAACCACCCACAAAACAAAATGACAAGTTCCTGAATGGGAGAAGGTATCTGCAAACAATCTATGTGAAAAGGAGTTACTCTCCAAAATATACAAAGAACTAGTACAACTCTGTACTAATTTGATTTTTTTCTAAGAGAGAGAGTCTGAGCACATGAATGGGGAGAGGAGCCAGAGAAGTGGTGGCGGCGGGGGGGAATCTTAAGCAGGGTAGATCTCATGACCCAGTGAGTATGACCTAAGCTGAAATCAGGAGTTGGACACTTAATCGACTGAGCCACCCTGGTGCCCCCCCCGCCAAATAATTTGATTTTTAAAAAAGGGCAGAGGACCCAAACAAACGTTTTACCAAAGCATACAGATGGCTAACAGACACATGAAAAGATGGTCAACTTCACTAATCATCAGGGAAATGCAAATCAAAACCATAATTATATCATCTCCCCCTAGTTAAAATCAAAAAGACAAGAAACAACAAGTGTTGATCAGGATGTAGAGAAAAGGGAACCCCTCGTGCACTGTTGGTGGGAAGGGAAATTGGTATAACCTTCTGTGGAAAACAATCTGGACCTTCCTCAAAAAATTAAAAGTAGAACTACCACATGATCCGGTAATTCCACCACAGAGTATTTACTCAAAGGAAACAAAAGATATATGCACCCCTATGTTTACTGCAGCATTATTTATAATATCCAAGATATGGAAGCAACCCAAGCATCCATCAGTAGATGAATGGATAAAGAAGACGTGGTATATACAGAAAGTAGAGTATTATTCAGCCATAAAAAAGAATGAAATCTTGCCATTTGCAATAACATGGATGGACCTAGAGGGTACTATGCTAAATGAAATAAGTCAGACGGGAAAGACAAATACCATACGAAGTCACTTACATGTGGAATCTAAAAAGATAAAATGAAAAGCAAAACAAAAAACCCCAAACACACACAAAAACAGACCCACAAACTGGTAGCGGGGAAGAGGGGGTTAGTAAATGAGGGAAGAGGAGTGGGAGGTATAGGCTTTCAGTTATGAATGAACAAGTCATGCAGATGAAAGCTACAGCACAGGGAATACAGTCAATGGTACTGTAATAGTGTGTATGGTATGCTTGTGAACACAGCGTAACATATAGGACTCTTGAATCACTATGCTGTTGTACACCTGAAACTAATGTAACACGTGTGTTAACTGTATTTCAATAAAAAAAATTTTAATATATACTTACTTCCTTTTGTTTTTGCTTAAGTATGTCTTCTTCATATTGTTTCTGCATCTCTTCTCGTTCCCGTGCTAAGCGACACTCCTCTTCTTGTTCTTCCTTCTTTCTTTGCTGTTCTTCCAGCTGCTTCTTCCTGCGTTTCTCTTCTACCTGGGCAGTGATGGCTTTCTAGTCATAAATCATAAATCACAAAAAGCACTGTCAAATTTAAAAAATCCATTTGAAGCATTTGTATTTCTAAAATAAGTTTATCAGTCTCAGATAATATATAATATAGTATTACATATATAAGTAAAGTTAAAATGTCAAATTTCCAATGTATTTGTCCCATCTCTTGTCTTTCAAATTCTATATGCTTTTTCTTTAACCAGAGTAGGGCTATTAGAAGAAGTAATCCAAAAACAACTGAAGAAAAAAATCTCAGCACTTAGCATAGTGCCTGGTAAGTAGCAGACGTTCTGTAATTCACTTACTGATTAAGACTAACAATATTAATTAAACCGAATTCGTCATGTATCAGAGGATTTTTTTTTTTAAGATTTTATTTATTTATTTGACAGCGAGAGAGGGAACACAAGCAGGGGGAGTGGGCGAGGGAGAAGCAGGCTTCCCGTGGAGCAGGGAGCCCGATGTGGGGCTCAATCCCAGGACCCTGGGACCATGACCTGAGCTGAAGGCAGACGCTTAACGACTGAGCCACCCAGGTGCCCCTGCATCCGAGGTTTTAAAGAATTATTCAGAATTTTAAGTCCCTTTAGTGTTAAGACTACAATTAGGACAGAATTTTAATCTTAGTCTCCTTTCTTATATTATCTGATAGATTTCTCAATCAGAATTCTACTTCAATGCCCTATATAGTTCCCTTTACAGAATTAATTATTCTCATCCTAAACAAAATTCAGGAGAACTAAAAACAAATGAAAAAAATAACCAGTACTAACTTAAGATTTAGTGCCATTTCATATATACAACTTATATATTAAAGACCTTCTCTTCTGGAAGGCAGGTGGCTGGCTGTACTATGTGATACTGTCTGGTTCTCAGCATCAGTATAATTTTAATATTAATGCCAGCTGGAGTAGGAATTAGATTCATCACAGGACTGGACAGGGCCTGTGCTGTACATTTATACTGGAATTTTAATTTCCATTTATTTAGGTATCCACTGGCCATGACTATTACTTATGAAGGCAAAGAAGCATATTTTACAATGCAATACCTGATGTTCTAACTGTTTTTGTCGTCGCCTGTCACGTTCTTCAATCTGAGCTGGATCCAAGAGAGCAGTCATAGAACGGAGAAAGCTGGCAAGATAAACACTTTAGCTATTCAAAACCCCCAAAAGGTTAAACCTAAAACAAGATGCTAAATCATTTTTGTTTCAGATATATCCACTAGTCATTTCTACTTTAAAGAAAAATACCAAACCTGAAATCAATTAACACATATTATAAATATAATGACAGTCCTTTTAATAAAGCACATAGACTTTCTTAAACATATAATAAATACTGAAAAATAAACTTACTTTGTTTTCTGACTGTTTGCCATGGCCTTATCTCTAACAGGTTTTGCTATATGCTCCTCCTCTGAAGGTTCAACCTGACTTCCAGTCATAGGTGTATAAACACTGCTGATATCAGCCAGTTCCTGAGTGTCCGGAGAGACACAGAAGTACTCTGGTTGGTTGTGTGTTGACCGAGAGGACAGTTGAGACTGAGAAGCAGGATAGTTCTTTAATGAATCAAAATGCATTGCCCATCTGTCATGTTCCTCACCCTAATCATGATAAATAAGAATTACTAAGAATTTTTCTAATTGTTCTCAGGTATAAAGTCCTAAAACGATAATCAAACACCATTTTTAAAAGTCACCACAGAGCAGAATAAGCATAAAAATTAACAGTTACATTATTTGATTCCATGTATACTTAGATAACATGAAGAATATGAGAAATTCAAAGAATCAGGAAATTCCTAAAAAGCTAGTTTTAAGAAACTATGCAAAAGCACTTACTAAATGCATTCAATAAAAGGTTTGCAAGAGCAAATGTGTAATAATTTGAATACTGTAGTCTTGTCAAATAGTTCTAGGATACTTTTAGGTTTATGATTAAAGACTCAAATTATTTCTTCCTTTTGTATCACCCACATGTTACCTTTGAAGATGTAATTTTTTCCTCTATTTTTCTTTGCCGATCATCTTCTATTTGCCTGTTCAAATCTTCAATCCATTTCCTCTGCTGTTCTTGTTTCATGGCACTGAAAGGGTGCTCCAGTGGTACTGCTTCCTAAAGAACAGTCAGCAATACTAGCTAAAGTGCAGCTCTTTTTTCCTAACCACTTTATCAATCTTGCCAAAAATTTATACAGATTTAAGCAGAAAGGTATTTATCTCTAAGGGAACAACAATCATAAACAATTCTGAGTTATACAAGAATTAAACACGATGTATTCCAATTTTCAGAATATTTGTAACATACACTAGTAGAGAACACAGAAAAACTAAATGTAAAAAAGTAATTTTCTAATGAAAAATAAATTTTCCTAAAATAATCAAGATTTTTCAAAAGTCTGTCCTAATACAGTCTTGTTTTGACTTTGAAAGGAGTTACTGATAATTTAAAATAGATGCATACTGTTTTACATTTGCCTTCATAATACAACAAATAATTGCCTTTGGACCAAGAGCCAGGAGGATAAAGAGAGCCAGAGGCTTTCTCTCTTGAATCATGACGTCTCTCTAGGATATCCCTCTTTTCTATTTCTACTGCTATAAGCCCTATCACAGTCTATGATGTTTCAGTAAGAAAAACATTGTGTTCAGGTTAAGTCCTTGAATTCTAAAAAAAAAAAATTAAACAGTAGCATAAAAATTTGTTGCTTCTTACTTTATGAGAATTTGGTATGCTCTAACAAAAAGAGAAGAATAAATTCTACTCAAATTGTCCTGGAAGGCAAAAGCTAAGCAACAAACACTTTAATATATGGAATAACTGCAGGACATAATTTAAAAAATAGTTTGACAGAATACTACAATGGCAATATACCTGATACTACTTTCTGCCTTTATTTTTAACAGAAACAATGGCAAAGCTCCTGGTTTACAAGCAATTGCTTTGATCAAAGAAGGACATATTTTACATAAAAGAAATAATCTTAGTATCTAATGTATTCTTACATGTTTTAAAGAGATAAAAACCATCACATTTCTTTAAGCCTAAAAGAACCACTTCAAAAGGAGCATTACCTCCAGGTAAGTAACTGAACAATTTTAGCTCTAAAAATATTATCTTGGGATGAAAATGGAAAAGAAAAACAAATGGCCCTTTTGAACTCCTTACAAGACATTCTCAACATAGCACTCAATCACCTTAGAACTCTGTCATGTTTCTTACGTCGGATTTAGCCAGATCTGGTTTCAAGTCTGTTTTTTGTCTTTTTAATTTGTTCATTTGTTTCTTACATTCACATTTGAGTGAAATAATATGGTATTTGTCCTTCTCTGACTTATTTTGCTTAGCATTATACTCTCTAGCTCCATGTTGTTGCAAATGGCAAGATTTCATTCTTTTTTATGGCTGAGTTATATTCCATTGTATATATACCATATCTTCTTTATCCATTCATCTATAAATGGACATTTGCACTGCTTCCATAATTTGGCTATTGTAAATAATGCTGCAATGAACATAAGGGTGCACCCATCCATTTGAATTAGTGTTTTCATAATCTTTGGGTAAATAACCAGTACTGCAATTACTGGATCATATGGAAGTTCTATTTTTAATTTTCTGAGCATACTGTTTTCCACGGTGGCTGCACCAGTTTGCATTCCCACCAAGTGCGCATGACAGTTCCTTTTTCTCCACATCCTTGCCAATACTTGTTTCTTGTTTTTGGTTTTAGCCATTCTGATAGGTGTGAGGTGATATCTCATTATAGTTTTCATTTGCATTTCCCTGATGTTGAGAGTGATGCTGAGTATCTGCCCATTTTTAAATTGGATTATATTTTTTGTGTGTTAGGTTGTTTATGTATTTTGGAAACTAAGTATATCATTTGCAAATATCTTCTCCCATTCAGTAGGCTTTTAGTTTTGTTGTCTCCTTTACTGTACAGACGCTTTTTATTTTGATGAAGTCCCAATAGTTTATTTTTGCTTTTGTTTCCCTTACTTGAGGAGACAGATCTAGAAAAATGCTGCTGTGGCGGATGGCAGAGAAATTACTACGTGTGGTGCACTCTTTTAGGATTTTTATGGTTTCAGATCTCACATTTGGGTCCTTAATCCATTTGAGTTTATTTTTGTGTATGGTTTAAGAAAGTGGTCCAGTTTCATTCTTTTACATGTAGCTGTCCAGCTTTCCCAACGTGTTTTTTCTTTTTTAAATACTCAGTTGGAAATTCCTTCAGACAAATTTCCTGAGGCAATTCCTTAATGAACTGGGGTTAAATCTTGTCAAATGCTTTTTGTGCACCTATTTTTTTTTTCATAAAGTAGGCTTGATGCTCAGCATGGAGCCCAACGTGGGGCCTGAACTCACGACCGTTGAGATCAAGCCCTGAGCTGAGATCAAGAGTTGGATGCTTAACAGACCGAGCCAACCAGGCGCCCCCCCCCCCCAGATATTTTCTTTCATTATTAAAATGATATACTTGTTGCAGGCGCCTGGGTAGCTCAGTTGGTTAAGCGACTGCCTTCCGCTCAGGTGAGGATCCTGGAGTCCCAGGATCGAGTCCCACATCGGGCTCCCTGATTGGCAGGGAGTCTGCTTCTCCCTCTGACCCTCCCCCTCTCATGCTCTCTCCCTCTCTCAAATAAATAAATAATCTTTAAAAAAAAAAAGATATACTTGTGGATTTTAAAATATTTCCTTAACTTCCTAGCAAAAATGTCTTAGTCATATTACTTTTTTTAAAAAAATATTTTATGGGCGCCTGGGTGGCTCAGTTGGTTGGGCGACTGCCTTCGGCTCAGGTCATGATCCTGGAGTCCCGGAATCGAGTCCCACATCGGACTCCCTGCTCAGCAGGGAATCTGCTTCTCCCTCTGACCCTCTTCCCTCTCATGCTGTCTCTCATTCTCTCTCTAATAAATAAATAAAATCTTTAAAAAAAAAATAAAAATAAAAAAAATTTTATTTGAAAGAGTGACAGAAAGCACGACGGGGGAGGGTCAAAGGGAGAAGCAGATTCCCCACTGAGCAGAGAGCCAGATGTGGACCCTGATCCTGGGGGCCTCCAGGATCATGACCTGAGCCGAAGGCAGACGCTTAACCGACTGAGCCACCCAGGGGTCCATATTATTACCTTTTTATGTATTATTGAATTTTAATTGGTAATATTTTCTTTAGAATTTTTGGGTGTATATTCCTGAATAAACCTTATTTTCCTGGCTTTAATATCAAGTTTACATTGGTCTTGTACAATGAATTGGGAGCTACTCCATATTTTTACTGCCTGGGTAGGTGAATAAACTTGGAATTTATTCCATGAAAGTTTGGTAGAAATTGCCAGTAAAACCACTTGGGCATTTTACTTCCCTTGTGGGGAAAATCTTTCCTCTTTTTTTTTTAATTTTAAGTATTTCATTTATTTATTTGTCAGAGAGAAAGCACAAGCAGGGGGAGTGGGAGGCAGAGGGAGAAGCAGGCTCCCTGCCGAGCAAGGAGCCTGACACGGGACTCAATCCCAGGACCCTGGGATCATGACCTGAGCCGAAGGCAAGACGCTTAACCAACTGAGCCACCCAGGTGTCCCATGGGGAAATCTTTCTAACCAGATCTACATTTAACAGTAACAAGACTACTCAAGCTTTTTGTTTCTTTTTAAGTCAGGTTTTTTTCTTTTTTTTTTAAGTAATCTCTACACCCAACATGGGGCTCAAACTTACAACCCTGAGATCAAGAGTCACATTCTCTACCTACCAACTGAGCCAGCCAGAAGCCCCTAAGTCCGTTACTTTAAGTTACGATTTTTACAGTAATTTCTCCATTTCACCTAAGTTTTCAGAATTGTTGGCATAAGATATTCACTAATGATTTACTCTCTATCTGCAATTATGCCATTTTCTCTCGTAATTTTTTCTTCTTGACCAGTCTTTTTTAGAGATGTATTTTTTTATTTCAAAACAGGCAACTTTCGTCTTTGTATGTTAATGACTGGTGGCCCTATTTTCATGATTTCTTCTAATTTATTCCATTGTTCCTTTTTCTAACTTAAGATGGACACCTAGTGTACTGTTTAAAAGATTTTCTTTTCTAATACACTTTCTCTTGAATTTTTGATGTGTTTCTGGTGTGTAAGCATTATCATTTTGTTCCAAGTATTTGTGATTTCCATTATAGTTTTTTTTTTTACTCAAGTTAGTGTTATTTTTAACTTCCAAATATGTATGTAGTAGTTAAAAAACTCTTTTTGTTACTAACTTCTAAGTTACTTGTAGTTAGAGGTCACTTTACAATAGCTATTTAAATTTTATCTGAACCTTTATGTCCTAACACAAATCACTTTTTGTGAATATCCATGTGTGCCTGAAAAAATATTTCCCAACTGTTGAACAAAGAACCTGATATGTTAACTAAGACCAACTTGATCTTGCTGATTTCTATACTGAAATCTCTGCTTAAATAATTTTTAAGTTTCTCTGCCGTTTTAGGGTGCCTGGGTAGCACAGTCAGTTAAGCATCTGACTCTTTGTTTTGGCTTGGATTGTGATCTCAAGGTTGTGAGATCGAGCCCTGAATTGGGCTCCATGCTCAGCCCAGATTCTGCCGGAGATTCTCTCCCTCTGCCCCTCCCACTCATGCTCTTTCTCCCTTTCTAAAATAAATAAATGAATCTTTAAAAAAAATTTTCTCTGCAGTTTTAACAATTTCTCAATTCAGATATTGAAGTCTTTATTTGAATCTACCAATTTTTGCTTCATGTATTTTATCAGGTTCACGCAGGTTAAAAATTGCTACACCTTCTTGATATGCTAAATCTTCTCTCTATATTTACAACCCTCACCATCCCTAATAATGATTTGTCTTATTTTTATTAGTGTAGCAATAACAATTTTATTTTGGTTAGCATTTCTTTTTTTTTTAAATCCTATTGTTTTCAACCTTGCTGTATTCCTATGCTTTAAGTGTGTCTTGTATTCTAGAAAGTATCTAGATTTCTTTATTCTAATCAGTAATTTTCTTAATTTTGGTTCTCAAAACTCAATTTTGGAGTCTTGGTTCACTTAGATTTATTATATTTATTGATGTATTTGGTCCTATTTCTATCTTAATCTTACATT